CAGTGGAATCACTGAGCTAAATCCATAGCTCAATAATATTTATTAAATGCCCGCTATATTCAGGTATGGCTTTGAGCTTCTTTTATTCTCTAAAGTACTTTGATAAAATTTTCAGCCATTAATATCTGAAATTATCTAAATATAAAAAAGATAACACATACCATGTTTCTAAACTCTCCCAAGCACATGTTGTTACAACAGTTGCTATATAAAAGAACAGCTCATGTTATTAGGGATCATGCAAAACTCTATTCTTGATAGCTGTATTTGTCCTACTACTGATGAGATCACAGAAATTACCCTCTGCCTTTTGAATTCTTTTTTTGTTTTATAAAATTCGAACATTTTAATAGTCAAAACTCCAAGGTACAGCAAAATCAAATCCTTCAATTTTTATCTTAGCAAATCCCATATATTTCTAAACTGTTACCTTATGGATATAGTCCTTTTATTAAGATATTTCTTATCATTTTTTAGATAATTAAAAAAGAACACTTAATGTTACATTTTTTGCTTTTATGGTAATTACATTAATCTTGTCTATAACCCCAAGTAGGAGGACAAGAAGAGTAAGGGATTTTCCCTGAACTACAGGATTTGAAACTGTACCAAGGCACAAGCTTGGTCTACTAAAGAGACCAGTATGGGGAAAATGATTAGATTTAAAGGATACTAGAATCATAATCATGCTTCCTAGAGTAGGGTAAGACCTACCTGACAGTTTGGGAAATGAAGGCCTAAAGCAGTTAAGGCATTTGCTCAAGATCACAGAACTTGTATGTGGTAGGGAGCAGGCAAGATTATAGGTCTTATGCTTTGAAGTCCTGGTTGATTCTCCAAATTTTGCAGCCCAAATCAGGATGTATCTGCCACTTTACTCACAACTATTTAAGCATATGTGTACTTACATTTTGATTAGAGGTTTTAGGCCCAAATGACTACTTTTTGAAATTTTTAGGTTCCTATGTTACTGGAGAGTTTTGAACCAATAGTCATTCTGCTAACAAATATTGTTTAAAGTGAGCCAATTTACAAAGTTTAGTCTCCAACAAAAAATTTTTCTGTATCCCTTGGTATGCTAATCTCTAACATGACAATTTAAAAACTCATATTATAATTACTTTTAGTACTTTTGACCTGACCATAAACTTTGGCTAACAGCAAAGGAATCCTACCTTATAAGTTCTAGAAGTTAACCTCTTTAGACCTTTTTGCCTCATCAGGAAATTAAAGGTGATCGTAGGAGTTACCTCTCAATGTTTCAATAAAAATTAATGAATTAATTTGTGCAAAGCTGTTACAGTATATTACTGAATTTTTTTATGATTTTGTTTTTGTGATCCAAATTCTCATTTTTAACTTTTTAAAAATATTATTGGGAAGGTGGGATGGGTAGGGGAAGGGTAATAAGGGAAAAGAAAAAAATGTGAGATAATGAAAAGATGAAAATAAAGTGTTTGTAGATGGGGAGGGGAGGAGGGGGTAAAGGGAGGGCAGGGACAAGGGGAAAAAATGAGAATCAAGACTTGTCATGTAAAGGTACAAGATCCCAATAATGAATGTAACTGTACTGTATACCTAAAATGTACCAATAAACTCAATTAAAGCTGAAAAAGAAGAAAAAATAAAAAAAAATATTATTGACTAAGATCAAAATATCAGATTGGCTACATGTGAATATTTCATATAAAACATTTAAGATCATATCATTGCTTTTACTTCTATTATAAATGTTCTTTTTGCTTTGTTTTGTTTTCTTTGTTTTTTGAGACAGGGTCTCACTATGTAGTTCAAACTGCTCTGGAACTCACTGTGTAGCCCAGGCTGGTCTCAAACTCGCAGCCATCTTCCTGCCTCAGCCTCTGGAGTGCTGGGATTACAGGCGTGCGCCACCACACCCGGCTTATTATAAATGTTCTTAAATCATAGCATTAGGATAATGGAATAAAGTGTTGTGGTGGAATAAACTATCTCCATTGCTGTTTGAGTGTGTTTTTGGTAGAAAAATTATTCACACAGTCTTAATGCTGTAATAACAATTCTGTCCTGATGAACTTTTTAAATAACCACTTTTAGTAACAGAATATAATTTTATTTGTAACATGACTTTGGATGAAATTTGATTCTTTGGGTTTCTAGTTTAGATTCTAAACTAGGAGGACTAGGAGGCAGCAGGAAACTGCTTTTTGCAGTCTTACCTCTCTTATAACATCCCCATTTAGAAAAGCTGGTTGGAGAGTTTGAGAACTTATACAAAGATATCTGAGGATAATGACCACTTCATTGAGTGCTAGTTCTCCCCATTTGAAAGGTAGTGCACTTTGGGGAAAAGGGTGGTAAATATAGCACTTAGAGCGATGGACATGTACTTCTCTCTTCCCTTGTGTTTGAAGAAAACAGTAGGCTGTTGGTTCTGTTTTTTATTGAAGCAACTAACGGTGAGTGATGGGCTAGATAACCTGCTGCTTTGATGTTGGTGAGGGAGACTGGTTGCTTTATGTCACCTCTACTTCCAGATTTGTTCTGGGTCAAACATTATGTGTGTTCAGCAAGCTGTGGTTTGGCTACATATATCATTTGTTATATTCTATCCTCTCCAAGAGGGCTGCCTAGTGTCAAAACAAAAGCCTGGAGAGGAAGCTGAGGTCAAGAAAACTACAGCCAGGTGAGAGACTCTGGTAGTGGAATTAAGGACGTCTCCTATAGACCTACAAAGAATCCCACAGGCTCCTGTCTGTCAGGCCCAAGGAGCTCAGTACCAGAAGGAGTCAAGAAAAACCATTTTCCCCTCTCTTTTGCTTTTATTCATCCTTCTTCAATTCTGAGTCAGATGTTATAGTTAGCAAACTGGTATAGGAAACGTAAACCACAAATCAGGAGGATATAAATCAACTGCCACCCTGACATCATGAGAAAGAGAAACAATGTTTTCTTTATTATTATACTAGACTAGGCATACACATTTTTCAGTGAAGACGCTTTTTTATTTTTACCTGAAAATCACAAAAAAGTCCTGAACTTTGACCTGAATTTCAGGTGGGAGAAAAGGAAGAATCAGTTTCCAGTGTCAAATCAAATGGACAATTTATGTTGTTTTAGATTTATTTCCTATAAGTTAAACTTATTGAATGTAAAGATTATAGTTTGCTTAATAATCTCCTCATTTTCATGCACTTATATTTGTGACAGTAGAGTAATATAATGCTGCTTTAGGCGGGTTTATCCATCATATTTTGTATCGTTAGAGAAGGGGAAACATCTTTATACATAAAGATTGACCTCTGGCTTTTAAAGAAGTTGAAATGCTTTATAGTACCACTGCCTTTCCATAAATGTTTCAGAGACCAGGAAGCTAAAAATCAAACAAAATAAAACAAAACAAAAGTCCCAAGATATTGGAAACAATTTGATTTTGTAACATTTATGAAAATATTAATTATAAAAGGAATAAAAACACTTTTTCTACTAACTATATAAGGAGGTATTAAAATTATATGAAATATATTTGTTTTGTAGACTATAAACTCTATAGAATTATCTGTACATATAAATACATGTTCCTTTAATGCAGAGGAAAAATGCACAAACATTTTAAATCATTTATTTTAAAGCAAGATGAACTTTAGGGCTAAAAGCATTTGAAGTTTACTACTGATTGTAAAATAATTTGACTTTTATTAAATACTATATGTCAGTTTCATCTTGATTTAAATGAAGTTAGTCATGAAATTAGAACTTTTTGAAATCTAAAAATAGTCTATTGATCTCATTAAGATGAAAACTATAAATAACTTTGAGCATCATATTGTGTGTAACAAAGCATGTCATGATTTTTTTTTTTAATTGAGACAGGGTCTCCCTATGCAGTTGAGACTGACCTGGAACTCACTATGTAGCCCAGGCTGATCTCGAACTCACAGCGATCCTCCTGCCTCAGCCTCCCAAGTGCTGGAATTACAGGCATGTGCCACCATGCCTAGCTTATCAAGTTTTTTTGTTTTTTTGGTACCAGGGATCGAACTTGGGCCTTTGCACTTTTGAGGAGGCAGAGGAACCACTGAGCCAAATTCCTGGCCCTGTCATACTTTAGAGAACTAGAATTTAGTACCTTTTGCAACAATCTGACAAAGGGACACCTAATGAAAAGACATGATTGTATATTTTATTGTTAATCACCGGTGCTATTTGTATTCATAGTAGTACCTAGATTTAGTTAACTTAAAAAGGTATGTGGGTGAAAGAAAATAGCTGAGGAATTATAATATTTTGTCTTACTGTAGGTAGCACAAATTTAATCAAAACACTAGTTTGTTTTTTAATACAGCATAAGTTTTCTAAAGGAAGTTATCATAATAAAAGTGATACTATACAGGTAATTTTTAATAACCAAGGTCTATAAATAGTTTTAAAATTTCAACTTTTTCTTTTTTCCTTTTCAAAACTGGAAACATGGACAGAGGTTAGTGTCACCTATCGTGAACTGGATGAGTAGATATTCTAAAAACAAAACAAATAAACAAACAAAAAACCAAAAAAAAACCCAGAAAAACAGAAAAAGCTAGAAGGACAAAATGTTCAGTTTTAGGGGCTTGCTAAAGTAGAAGTCCTCCTACATCTCAGGAATTTTTCTGGAAACCAAAGCTAGTTTCTGAATAGTTTGCTCTTGCTATTTCCTCAAATACTGTCTTAGTTTTACTGCACTAAACACTGGAAACTCCAGCTGCCTTTTACATTCCAAAATGTGCTTTCAAAACTGAGATACAGTCTCATGACTGTGAATGTGGATTGTGATTTCAAATGACAGGTTAAATTTGAGTGGAGAACCCAGAATCGAATGAATGTGATCTGCAAAGTCACCTATAAAATGGAAATGATATCGTTTCCTTCTGCTTTGGAAAAGGACAGCCAGGTCATTCACGATTTACATCTGGGAGCCACTAATATCCCCATCATGGTGAATTTGGTGGTGGGTCTCACCAGCTGCCACAAGAGGTTCCTACCTGGACCAAGCTATATCCTGTGCGCTGGACCAGTGCGCGGAGGGCTGCTTCCTTCTGGGTGCCGCTCAATCCATCCCCGGATTTGTGATTTGATTCCATTGAGAGTGATTATCAGCAAAAAATCAGGGTAATTAGGGTTGCTCACTGAAACCAAGTTTAAGATAAATTAAGTAAATTATGGTTGCCTAGTCCAAGCTTGTCCTTTTCACGAAGGACATCTGTAGGAAACATTCTATATAAATGAGTCATTAAATTTAGAGCAACTAATAGCCACACCCAAACAAGACTAGTTAAATGTACTCAGTAAAAATGTTGTTTTTTTTTAAATGTTCAATTTAATTCAAATTTAAAAGTCATAATGAAATAGCACCCATTCTTCAATTAAAACGCAGATCTGTACTTCTCAGTCTAATTACTTCAGGATGTCACCAAATGCTCAAAACTAATTCATATTAGTTAAAATGAAATGAGGTATGCTTCTTACAGATTTGGGGAAAAGACACTGTCACTAAATGAAATAAAGTGAGTTTTAAGGCATCAAAATTCTGAGATTGAGCTTCATTTATCTAGTCTGTGTGTTACTTAAGAAACTTGTTCTCCAAACACAAATTTGTAGAACACATGTGCTGGTGAGAGATATACAGGTATCTTCAGACAAGCACAATGTAATAACATGATATGGATTTTAACAAAACATGATCCCTCTGATTATGCACCACATATTTCACTCAGTTGAGTCCCTGAAACTTTTCCTGACATCTAGGAAAAGATGGAAATTTACATAGGTCTGTGTCTTTTACATAGTTATGAATATACAAGATCAACATTTTTTTGTCTATACTTTATGTTTTGGCAACGTGATTTGAAACCTTTTCAAATGTGATGGCTGCTTAGATACACGAGTTCTTAGCACAGGGACAACGACCGTTCTGAAGTTTTCAGGACGTGGTGGCCTGGCCCTGAAGCACCCATGTCCACAGGGGAGAATGGATATGTTCCTGCTAGGTTAGATGTGCGTGACTCAGAGAGGTTTTATCCAGGTTTTCATGCTGCCTAATGTGCTTGGTGGCCCAAGACAGAGGAAATGTGTTTTACAATGATTCAAGCCAATTACAATTTCAGTATATTTAACTATAAATTATTTTGAAAATTTTCTATTTAATGCATTGAGATTTTCTTTACTGATTTCTGTAGTTACTTAAAGAATCAACAAATAAGACATTAATCAAGTGACAGAGAAAAAGTGAAGCTGAAGTGGTCATTTCAGGAAAATGTACCTTCAAGGTATAGCATTATTAAAATTATTGTTACTTAAATAATATAATAGCAGTAAAATATTTCTAGCAATCATTATTAAGACCATTAATAGTAGAAACCATATTATTAGCAGTAGCAATATCAATAATACTTTATTACTAGGTAGTAGGAAAAAAGGCCTTCAAACTAATTGATAATTATCATTTAAAATGTAATACTTTCGATGTAATTTAGAAAATCAAAAGAAAAAAATCAGTTCTAGAAGAAGAATATTCATTAGATTTATATGGATAAAATAGTGTCATCCTGTGCATATGACCATGGCCATTTTTGCCTGCAGCTTTTCTGATAATTCTTGCTTATTCTAGATCCAGATCAATTCAGTTCATATTCATTTTTTCCTTCCTTCCTTCCTTCCTTCCTTCCTTCCTTCCTTCCTTCCTTCCTTCCTTCCTTCCTTCCTTCCTTCCTTTCTCT